AAATTATATAATATTAAATTAAGATCATTAATTATTGATTTTAGTTTTTGAAATAAATATATTTATTTAATAATTATAGATAATAGGTTTTCATATTTGATTAAATGAAAGGGTAATAAAGAATATGAAGTATCTTAATGTAAGAATTTGACTAATTAGAATGTAGGAATTTTCAATTAGTTGGACTCCTGGTCAGGATAAAAGGAGAAAGATATTAATAAATATTCAATAGGTAAATTGATTAAATATGATAGTTGAGAAAAAGTTAAAGTATTTTGATTTAATAAGAGGAAGGGTATAAAGGATTAAAATTGATATTAAAAGAGCGATAACTCCTCCTAGTTTATTGTGGATAGATCGAAGGATGGCGTAAGCAAATAGAAAATATCATTCAAGTTGAATATGAGTGGGAGTTACTAGGGGATTTGCTGGAGTAAAGTTATTTGAATCTCTAAATATATATGAATATTGTATAATAATAATTAAAAATAAAAAGGTAGTAATAGTAAAGCCTATACTATATAATATCTTTTAAGGGTCAAAGGGGATTTTATATAAGTCTCTATTAATTCCTAGTGGATTTGAAGATCCTGTAGAGTGTAAAAAGAGTAAATGGATAAAAATAAATAAAATAATAATGAATGGGAGAATAAAATGAAAAGAAAAAAATCGGTTTAAGGTTGAGTCATTAATTAAAAATCCTCAAATTCATATAACTAATATGTTTCCAATATAGGGGATGGTTGAAACAAGATTTGTAATTACTGTTGCTCCTCAAAAAGATATTTGACCTCAAGAAAGCACATATCCTAGAAATGCTATTAATATATAATATAATAGATAAGAAGAAAATTGAAACTCCTGAAAAGATTCAGGTGTTAGTTAGATTAAATGAATTATAATAAATATTTCGTCTAATATGTATATATATGAAGATAAAAAAAAGAGGCTCCATTTATGTGGATATTATGTATAATTCATCCGTTAGAAACATTTTGAATAATTTGAATAAATAAATTCTATTAAAAGCAATATTGATATTAGGGCAGTAGTGTATGGATAGAAATAAACCTCTAATAATTTGAATTATAAGGAAAAGGCCTAAAAGGGATCAAAAATTTCATCAATAGGAGATGTTGGAAGGGGGTAGATTTATAAAGTGTTTGATTATTTTATTTATTTTATTCATATATTCTAAAAGGGAGGGAGATGAAAATTAATGTATGATGGGAGAATAAAAGTTAATAAAAGCGAAGTGATTTTTTTAAATATATTAATATAAATAAAGTAAATATGTTAGGATAAAATATAAAAATATAGGAAATAATTGGTATATATATATATAGAATAACCATAAAATTTAGATTGATGGTAAAGATTATGGGAGGATATAGATTTACTTTTTGGGAGTTTTTAATGATTTATATAGCTTTTTTTTTTAAA